AAAATATCATTTTATTCATTCTGAGTATTTGAAAACGCCAAAAAAAAATATGGCCTCTATCATGCCTCTTTGAATGGCGTTTGCAGAGAAGAAAATTACGTAGTATTGAGCGAACTATGATTCATTTAATGCGCTCAGACTTCATTCCGCCGGTTAAACAGCGGTGCAGAGTGAGGCGGATGACCGGACCAAGATGGCGGCCGCATTTCTCGACAGCGCCCATTCGTGGTAGCGGCCGATGCGGGGTCTATCTTTTATTATGTCTATGGCGCGTTTGGTTCAATCATGGAGGGAAACGAGGACAGACAGAGAGAGGAAGAAAGAGATGACACGCAGAGGAAACAGCAGAAAGTGTCTAAAGTGTGGGACCATTACACACTGAAAAGGAAAGAAAACGCCGTGCAGTGCGTTCACTGTAAGGCGGAGTTGGCGTTTCACAACAGCACGTCGTCAATGCTGCAGCACCTTAAAAGAAAACACCCGGTCCATGCATTAAGTCCGCTCTGAGGCAAACGTGATTCAATGCAAAGTATTACAGTGAGAGCAAAACATTTCTTATCCGATTACTCGATTAATCGACAGATTAATCGATAGAGTAGTCGATTACTAAAATAATCGATAGCTGCAGCCCTAATCTTGTCAAAGGTTGATGATTAACCAGCTCATAATGAGGCAAAAGTGAGATGCTGTTTTCATGTTTCTGAAGCTCTGTCCACACTTTCTGTGATTCATTTCTGGTGGGATAATTGTGTCGGTCTCAGCCTCATCTGCTGTAATGGGACATGTGTCTCTGAGTTTGTGTCTGTTATGTGGTGAGCTGAGCCTGTGATAATAAATCACAGCATCCTGTCAGGGTTGTGGACTGTCAGTCTGAGTGTGTCGGGGCCCTCAGCTCGTGGCCCCGCTCAGCAACAGACAGAGGCCTCTACTTGTAAAACATGATGTGCCAGCGGGGGGAAGATCACAGCCGTTGCTCTCATCCTGGGAATGTACTCGTGAGTTTGTGCACAAAGAATGCTGTCACTCTGCATCAAACCTGCGTGATGGACAAACCCGTGAGTGTGTGTGTGAGAGAGAGAGCACACACCTTTGTCAGACACACCTCTGCACACGTATGTGCACAGTGCACAGGGAAGACGCCACTGAGTCTGGGCTGCATTCAGGAGTGAGACTGTTTTTAGCATCATCCGTTTGCGTGTGCGTAGGCAGGCACGGGGAGGACTCATCCCTGCCCTATGACTGCAGGGCTTGCCTTTGTTCTCTAGCACTAATACAGACGTAATTACAAGACTAAAAGAGCATGCACACCTTGCTTTCTGTCTTCTTCTCTGCACCTCATGGATTTGCAAGTTTTTTACCCATTCAAGTCTCAATCCTCTGCTCTCAGCTGCTCAAGTGCTTCACATAAGAGCTACACATACAGGCCCACAGGCGTGCGTGCGTGCCTTCAAAGCTTTTTTGCACCTTGTGTTTGTGCATGTCCTCATTTGGGTTCTCTGATCCTGTTCATCAAAAGGTGCCATGGAGGTTGTCATCTGACAACACAGGCTTTAAATACAAAGCAACTTCCCACGTTATAGGAAAAATAGGATGAAAACTTCAGCTATTGCTGCTATAATCCCCAAAATGATGCTATTATTTCCTAACAGCCTTAAATATTTCAAAACCTTTCTTCACAATACAGACACCAAGAATAGTATCAGCTGATATTGAACATACAACAAAAATTACACCTTTTTACATTTTCCTGATACCTAGACTTAGCTATTGCCTGCACCGATACCATTTCTAATTAAAGTGCAATATACAAAAAATAATACAATTTAAAAAACAAGCAGGTGTTACAGGCAGAAAAATCACAGCTGAAATTCTGCTAGCAACAACTTCAACCAACTTTTACCTGGAACTGTTCAATCTTGTGGAAGCTGGGTTTGGTTGCTAACTGATCGGTGCATATCTAACTCACAAATCCTGATAGGCCTGAAAGAGATGTAACACACACACACACACACACACAGGTTTTTATCTTTTATCTTACTTACTGTTATTGTTGTCATAGCTATTTATTTTGATGATACCGCTTGTGCGTCCTGTCGTATCTGTTGCTTCTGTGACAATATGAATTTATTTTTAATTAAGTTTTATTCTGTTCCATTCTTTAGTGCAATTTTAGGCAGTCAATATTTATAATGTTTTAGGCCACTACAAGTAATAGTACCAGTGTTGGTAATGGTAAAACTAGGCTTTAGCAGTGGCCACCGAAGGCGATTTTTTTCAATAAATATGTCCATTTAATGCAGCTAGCTTATTTTATAGTGACAGAAATCTCTTGTATATGTTGCCTTTCTAGGCTTAGATAATGTCAATATCATGTACCTGAAGATACGTTTAAAGGTAGACCTACAACCACTTGATAATTATTTTGGGAGCCAAAACCAAAAGAAATTTTTTGTATACAGCAGCAGCCACCAATGTGTTTTTTCCACCCTACAGCATGAGTCTTAAATGCAATACCTATATCAAATCAACAAAAATCTGCCTGTCACTGATGATATGATAACTGCAAATATTCAGATGATTTTTCAGAATATTTCTATAACCTGCAGTAGAGGTGCCCTATTTAATTTCTCCCCTTCCTAATAAGTCAACCTAATGTAAGGTACAGGTTATTATCCTGGTGTGGTATCACTCTAGAGCTTAATAGTTACTGACCTTTTTTAAAGCTTTGACCAACATTAAACTCCCGACTAGCACTACACCATTTATGCATTTATGATTGTAATAGTCCAAACAGTAACCTTAAAACTATTTGGTTATTTCAGGAGGAGGTTGATCAATAAAATCAGATCAAATCCTCAGACCTTTTATTTACCCATACCTAATAACACATATAAGACAGTAGCACAAGTATCCGTAGCTGGGACCTTGTATATTATAATGAGCATTTACAGCTGCAAAGCCATATGTCTGAAGTCAGCAACCAGCCTCTCAGCTCGGCAGCCTTTTCTTTTTATTATTGTGACTGTAATTCCACTATGATAATAATTTGTGGCTTTGTTCTGGCTGACTGAGGCCTGTGGGGAATCGGGAAGCACTCCAGCTCCCAGCAGGCCTTCAGTGCTGCTGCTGCTGGGTTCCCAGTAGTTGCAGGCAGGCGGGCAGGGCAGGACATGACCAAAATGACGGGGTTGGACAGAAGTTTAGCACCACGCTCAACCCACCAAACACTGTTTATGATTTGACTGAAGCCTGCATCTGATCCAAGTGAGATGAGATCTGTGTCTCCATTGTTAGATTTCATCGAAAGAGGGGCTCCATGCCCACTCCCACTGTGAGTTTTTCTACACCTGTGGGTTGACTCTGTTTGAGAGTGAGTCAACAGCATAAAAAAGAAAAACATGGAGACAGAGTTGCTTTTTGATTCTGCAGTTGCCAGTTTCTCCCCAACACCCACATTATGTCCACACATGCTCCTTGTTGGAGTTCTGCTGACTCAGCCATTGGTATTTGCCCAAACTAATGAAACCCTGAAGAGAATTAGAAAAGGATGTGAATGACATGACTTTTTTTATTAATAAATTAAATCTGTATACACTTATTTTATATAGATTTGACAGAAAACACAGCGCTTGTCTTTTGTCGTAATATTTTAAAATCACAAAAACTAAAGCAAAAAATTTTCTAACCCTATTACCTGAGGTCCTTCTCATCATGGTGGTCATTTGTTGGTTTGCTTTAAAGAGCAGGCCCTTGCTAAAATTTGTTTAAAGTTCTGCTGTCTGTATAGCCTAAGATCTTTCTCTCTCTGTCTCCCTCTCTTTCTTAATATATATATATATATATATATATATATATATATATATATGTATATATATATATATATATTTATTTATTTATTTATGCACCGATTTTTTCTGATTGCGTTGTGAACATTGTTTTTTTTTTCTCAAATGAAAACACATCCTGAAAAAAGTTTTCCAAGTGAGTTTGAAGTTTCAGAAACCCTTAATTTTTTTAGGTGGTCGTGTCAAAATTTTTCATTAACTGTAAAAAAATGAGGAAATGTTTAATGAAACTTACCGGATTTTTTAATCGTTGATAACCTTTTAAAATGCTGCATGATTCGACTACATCTGCCTTAAAAAATAACGGCGTTTTTGCTTTATTTAAGGATAAAGTTTATAAAGAAAACACGACAAATTCTTAAATATCACACCTGTAATTATAATGCTTGTACATTTATCATTTAAGAGACAGTCACTGCAAATGTTTTTAACAGCTGCACATGTGTAAACCCTCCATTTCACGTCCATAACGGAGCATTGCGTTTTTTTCTGTCAGTGTAAATATGAAATATAGTTTCTTTCGGCTTTAGATGATTCTCCTCAACATTCGTTAATATTTTAAAAGTAAAAACATAAGATAAAATAAAGTACACCCGCTGTGCCAAACTTCTTTTAAAACCCCAAAGCTGCTGGGTCCTGAGTAGTCTCTTCAAAAGTTCTCAGCTCTTCCTCCAGGTGCATTTTTAATTTGCTGTTTAAAAAAGACAAACCATTGCAGAGCTGAATCCCGTTTCCTTTATTTGTCTGCTGATATTTTCTGACATGATTAGCGGAAGGAGGTCCGTGCTGGCTGCAGAGCTGCATCCTGTATCATCATATGTTAATGAGTTGAATGGTGGAGCTCCAGTGACAACTGCCTGCTGAAGACCAATCAGAGCGCGCGCCGACTCAGGCCAGTGTGTTGGAGGCTCCGTAAGCAGGAGGTGTCTGAAGCGGCATGTCAGCTCCTCCAATGATGTGAAGAAGGATCATCTTTTTGATTTTATCCGATTTGCAAACACCTGAACATGAACGCCTGAACTTCTTACCACGTGGAACTTTTTTTTCTCGATCATAGTTTTGGACTTGAATGTGGATCTGCTGCAAGTTTAAACAGCCGCCTGAACTGATGAAAGCCTCTTCAAAACGACGATTTATGGACCCGCGTACCAGCTAATGATGTCTATGGGTTTCATGCCTGACTGTCTGAACGCCTCAGATCCCTCCAAATCGGCTTTTCTGGAGTTCGGTCACGGACATCCTGCGCACCAGCAGCACTCCCCCGGACTTCCTCACATCTATCCCGTGCATGGTCTACATGCTGCCGGGCATTCCCAGCACGAGAGCCCTTTTTCTGGCAGCGGGTCCTATGGCCGCTCTTTGGGCTACGCCTACCCGGGCGCGGTGAACGCTCACCCCACGTCTGCTTATCTGTCCTACCAGCACAGCAATCACAGCAGCAGCAGCAGCCTGGCCCAAAACAGAGCAGAGCACACAGGTATGAGACAAAATCAAAGCTATCAATATTCAATTCTTGTTCAATGATCACTGTAAAATCCTCATTTTCCATCACGCTGACATGTACTTACGCACACTGGCGCACAACCCCCACACCCTCCCTGCAAAAAGATAGCTCACTGAAATAATTAGTTACTTACCAACAAAACGAAAGTATCCCTCATTTCTTTTAACGCCTTATTTTAATAGTCCACTGCATAAATATCCCAACAAAAACACAAATTGTCATCCAAACAGCAGCCTGCAGGGATGCTCCCTCCCTAAAACTCATGTTATATAAAAAAGGAAGATGGTGCCATTAATTTTATTGACCATAATTTTCTGTGGTTAAGTCCAATTATAGACCGTGTAGTCTGGGCCTACCTCAGGAACTTGGTTTTACCCTCATTGTTGGTCCACTTCAACTAAATGATTCCACTAAATAACAGGTCCTTTGTGTTGTGGGACTTCCTATAATTCCCCACTTTAAGATGATCCTTCTTCTATTCTCTGTTAATGAAGCGTAAAGCAGATATAATGAGCCCAGTTAGCTTTAGATAACCAGTGGATTTAGTGCCATGCAATCCAATAACTGAGACATCAGACTGAAACAACAGAGGACTCCAATAATAAAACTATAACCAGACTGTTAATGCCGGGGGATTTGATGTGGCTTTAGATAGCTAACTTACATTTTGTTGGCTCTCCGGCCCCGAGACTTCAGAGTTTGTAGCGTTGTAGGGCCTGACAGTTGAAGTCTCCTGCGCCATAGTCTCTGTTTATACTTGTATTTTTAAAGCCGTACTGTTCGACATAGCTTTGACGTTGTGTCTGAAGCCAGATGTTTATCTTTGTTAATCATAAAAAGTGTCTGTACATGTGTGACACTGGCGTCAATCTACAGATTTTAGAAACACTTGAACACTCTGTGATTAATCTCAGTTTTTTTATTTTTATCCCCTGCAAGATCGCGAGAAGTCCACCGTGATTGAGGCCAGAGACCTTCGCTTGAATGGCAAAGGGAAGAAGATTAGGAAGCCTCGAACCATTTACTCCAGTCTGCAGCTGCAGGCTCTGCACCAGCGCTTCCAGCAGACCCAGTACCTGGCCTTACCAGAGCGCGCGGATTTGGCGGCCAAACTGGGCCTCACACAGACTCAGGTGGGCCTTCACTTTCCCAGCAGCCCCGAGCGGAGCCTTTCCCGAGCAAGATTTATGCTCTACAAATAACCAATCACAAAAGCAGATTTAAAATACAGGTTTTGCATTTGAGTTTCTCCATTATTCTTCAAAACCCACCCGCTTTAAACTCTCAGACAGGCAGACGGCTTATTAGACATATCTACAAAGCTTATGATTAATATTTAAAAGTCTTAACTTAATCTCTCTTAAACCAGACTGATGTAAATTATTACTGAGAGAAAGCAGATGTTTCAGGAGGTGTCTTTTTCTCTGCTTTATTGAGGATCAGTGCGCATCTGGAGATCAAATGAAACAGCAAATTGTTGTGATTTGTAACTCGATCCTTTAATGCTCGTCTTATTTACTGTGCTTAGTGACCGTGGCTGTTTTCTCTAAGTCGGCCACGGTCCTTTAAAAGTTCCATGTAAAAAAAACAAACTGCTGTACATGTAATTTGAAGGCCAAAACGTTTATTGGAATTATTACACGAGTTTAGAGGAAATATGTGTCCTCTGGATGCGCGTATTTGCGTCTTTACGCGCACGTTTTGCTCCAAATTATGGAAACATTAAATTTGACGGTTTTTTTTTAAAAAATGCATGTAGATAGGTTAACAAATTTTCTAAACAAACAGGTGCACGTGTCGCTGACAGATCATCAATTCTCACAGGGACAAAAATAAACAAAAATGTTCTCCCTTTCTGAATGAGTTTTTTTTTTCCAAATACAAAGATAAACTTGCACTTCCACTCTGTCATTCGAGCTGACTCTCTCCCATTTTTGCTTAATCCCTTCTCAATTATCTCGACAATTATCTCTCGGGGATGTTTATGACTCACTGAGGCATTTAGGTGCAATCTATAAATATTCTCACCATTGTTCAAAATGAGAAAATAGAAATCTTTATGTGGAATCAGCAGAAATTTCAGCGCTCTGGGCAGTTTTCACATGGCCATATTGTTGTATTTTCGGTCTGTTGCAGTCATCACGCATCATTTGACTCATAAAACAGTTTACAATGAAAGAGCTCAGTTTAAATAGAGAACAAGTGCCACTCGTGCACACGGCTGAACAGCGATCAATGCGCCAGCAGTAAGCCTGGGATTTGCAAAACTAACAGAGAAAAGATGAGAGTTTGGTAGAGATTATTGTTCCCAAATGTTCAGCTCGGGCCTGTCTGAACACTGTATCGACTTGAACTGTGGTAAATATGCTCATAAAAAGATCCTCACTCTGTAATTTCTTTTATATTGCTGCTAATTGGAAACCGCAGTGTCAATTTTCTGCATTTTCTTCCTTTTTAGGTCAAAATATGGTTTCAGAACAAGCGCTCTAAGTACAAAAAGATCATGAAGCATGGCAGCGGATCAGAGGGAGAACATCTCCACAGCACCAGCTCCATCTCTCCCTGCTCCCCGGGCCTCCCTCAACTGTGGGAGGTCTCTAAAGGAGCCCAGATGCACCCAAACAACTACATGAACACTTTTGGGCACTGGTATCCAAACCATCACCCTCACCAGGACTCCATGCCCAGGCCTCAGATGATGTGAGTGGATTTGTTGTCGCGAGCAGGCCGATGTTTTTGAGCCTGAGTGGTGCACGCCATAAGGCCAGATCTCAGAACTGTTTTAAAGTGAAATTAATAGAACTGTCAGGATTTCTTCTGGGGGTTTGGATTCAGTTTTTGAGCTAAATCCGAGCAGGCATGAAATCTATTTTTAAGACTTGTTTAAATGTCACTGCAGCGTGTGGACTCAGAGAGCGCAGTTTACCTTCAAGAGACTCGAGATAAAGGCAAATATTGATCAAGTGGATCTACTTTATTAGTTTTGGCTGCGTGTTTCAGCAGATGCTCAAAGCATTACGTAAATAAACAGTTGAATTATGACCACTTTCTTGTGTGAGATGTTTTTTTTTATTTTTTGGAAGACAAAAGAGGTGAACTTGAGATATTTTTCATTCACCTGGGAAAAAATAACAAAGTCAGCTTCAACTGTGACTGAAGCACCGAAGTGAGCAGTGAGAGAAGAGTTTGTCGTGTGATTTCTTCGTGTTGGGACGCCACTTGTCTGTTGTCCATCAACACTCCTGCGCTGGAGTAAAACCTGCAGCGCTGCTTTGATTTTGACTGTCACATTGTGTCAAAACAATCCGTGATCCAGTCCTATTTTTAGAAAGAAAAATATCACTTGTTTGTCGTTGTGGCCAATAATAATTTTGAATTTAAACTAAACATAAAGCCAAATGAACAATCAGAAAAGTGACAAGTGGCTCCAGGATGACACGATAAGATCCCCCGTGTCATCTTTACGCACTGTGGTTTTGCCCGGTTTAACTTTTACGCACGGCGAAGGAGCTGTGGTGCACCCGCAAGAGAAACAGTGTTAAGAGAACCCAACCAACCAAAATATCATTTGAAATACAACAATGCAGCTTGATCCATCAAAAGTAAAACCTTCCCGCTTTGTTTGGATGAAGGTGTGAGGTAACATCCGTGAAGAGAGATGACGCACAGGGCCGCATTTTGGAGATTGTTTTCTTTCTCGTCACGTGCCAAGCGAGCGCCAGCAGAAACTCGCCGTTGTCACAACAAATGACAAATAGCGTGGCTGCTCTCTCCAATAAACCGCGCTTGATTTATAGTCGTTTGCACTGACTTACACATACAGGCGCTTCCAGTGTTTAAACACATTGGATTGGTTTATATCTTTGCAAACAGAACTTGAGAGTCGGGTGGTGTTCTTGATTAAATTTCAGAGGGGGTATATAAGGGTGTTAAGCTCAGTTTAATAGGCAAGAATAGTGCCTTAAAGAAATATCCACTCCTTTTTTATTTTTGTCATCCTTCACTCTGCTGTCTTTACTGTCTGGCACACATTGATATGATGCCTACACCAACAAGAAAAACAACTAACCAAGCAGTGCAGCGATTTACATGCAGACAAAGACTTCAAGTGCTTTTTTAGGACAAGTGTATCTCTTTATGTCATAGTAATTGCATCTGAACATATCCTTAATTTAACTCAAGTTATGTAATGTAACTTTTCTAACATCTTCAAATGCATTTTTATGTTGCAGACAGGAGGTAGATTTATGATACAAAACAAGAAATCTGCATATGAACAAAACAACTTTTGGCAAACATGAAAATCCACCAAAAATAATTTATTTTGAAGGGACCAGATGTCTTATAGCTGCATGCCAAAGCCAAAGATTTCCAAGGAAAACTACAGCCAAAATGTTTCCATAATAATGATTGAAATGTAAAAAGCCAGTTAAGCTTTAAGAATTCACTCTTTTCAATGCAGCACTTTTTTTTAAAGACAAACAAAAAACTTCTGGTGAACATTTGAATATTGCCCTCCAAAGTGACCTGCAGCTTTTAGACACCTCCTGGTTGACAGACCACCACCCCACCAGAAGACTCAGTCATACATGCACACATAGTTCAGTCTTACCTCGGTCTCAGAATTCAGGTTCATGAGGTCTGCGTGGATCCTTCTGGAAACAAAGCGTGTTTTCTCTCCTCCGAGCTGATTTTCTCCCTCATCTACAACCATTGTGCTACATTGACCTCTCTTTCCTCACACATACTGTATATATACACCCTTGTCCCCCTTTTTCCTCATTCCTGATCATTATGTGCTTTGTTGAGCGCGCAGGCCCTGGGAAAGGAGAAGAAGAAGAGGCGAGAACTGCTGCACCAAGTGACGGGGCATCAGGGAAAATTATAGGCAATTTCACATCTCCAGATTGGAATAATGACTCGTTGAGTTGGACAGACAGAGCATAGGACCTTTCAAATGAGGAAGGGGCAATTATCATGGAGGCAGATTGAAGGGAAAGTGAAAAGGCTCATAGACAAGCTAAGAGGAGGGGACGGAAGCCTGCGAGATGGGTTGAAAGGGGATGAAAAAGGGCGAGTGTTACTGTATCATTTCTGAGGAGTTATCAGATACGAGGTGTGATGGGTTTTAATAGCAGGATAGCAGTGAGAGAGAGAGAGAAAAAAAGCTTGTTATCAAATCTTGGTTTCTTTGAATGGGCAAACTGCAAAGCAAAGCAAATCTCCGGGGTGATTATTGTTATTAACTTGAGTGATCTGACGTCCTGGATAATTGTGAGCAGCTTCCCCTGAAGAGAACGGGGAATGGTTTTGTTTCTTCTGCACACACACACACACACACACACACACACACACACACACACACACACACACACACACACACACACACACACACACACACACACACACACACACACACAAAGTTAAACAACACAGTAATTCTTATACTGTCCTCCATTGTAATTTATGCCTCCTCAAATTTAGGCCATAAACTCTGAAATATTTTCTCAAAAGCAGAAATGTTTTAGCCTTGCAGTTGAAAGAATACTACATAGTATCATCTGCAGTCTAAGTCTTACAAATATGTGCTTACCAACCTACCAAAAAGACAAATTTATAGAATAAGGATGTAAATAACCTGCTGTTGCCTTGGTTATCTCAGCATCTCATCCAGACTCTCAAACAATCCGCAGGGGGAAAAGCGTGGGATTAAATAGTCAAATATCGACTACCTATCAGGTTCTTTGAGTGTCTTACACAAACACACAGTATGGATAGGCAGGGTGGGTCATGTACCCAAGGATCAGTCAGACAAGCACCTGAGAGAAAAGCAGTAAAATAGCCTTACACTGTTTATCATTGTTATTATGACTTATTTCGGTACAGAGACGGAGTTAATGATTTCATATACAGGCTATAGCCTGAGGCACACACGCTGGGAAAATAAGCTAAACTTGAGCTACAACACCTCCCCCCTCTCTCTCTCACACGCACACAAACAATGTGAGGTTTAAAACTCATTATATAAATGATGTTACCCCAGGTCGTCCAACATAGAGCTTTGAAAAGGCCCTGTTGCATAACATCTAAACACAAGGCATCAGCTGGGACCAAAAAGAAGAAACAAGGATATAAGGGGTATACAAGCGCAAACATATAGGTATTATATACGTGTTTCCTTTCCTACCAACTTTTACTTTTTTGGGTGTTGGTTTTGTGCTTGCTTGGTGTCTGCAGGTTGTGCTCAGAGTTTGTAGGTCAAGGTGAGCTCATCTGCATGCCTAGGGCTGGGTGATAAAACGCTAACGATACATATCAAAAATTAATTTCTCTCAATATCAATATAAAACATGGTCAATAAGCTTTTCGATAGTCAGCATTCTGCCATGTTTTGGTAGACTATACGAATAGCCAATGAAAAGGGAGTTGCTCTGGGTTCGCTTCGCGCTAAACTAATTGTGCTAAATTATAACCAAGTAGCAAACAACTGTGTAGTAGCAGGCTGCAGCTACACGCAACCATAGCATTTTAACACATGAAGCTGACAGCACTGTCAGTGAGAAAAAAAGGAAATGAGTGCTACCTCCGACAGAAAAGCAGATGAAGGCTCAACAGATGATGATGCTTTACAACTAAACATCGAAGAAACACAAAGACCTCACAGATGCAGCAGCTTATTGTATTGCAAAAGACATGCTACCAACTAGCACTGTTAAATTAAATTTTTATATTGTGATATATATCAATATCGACTGATATGAAAAAAATATTGTGATAAACTTTCTCCCATATCGCCCAGCCCTACACATGCCCCTCACCACGAGAGAGCCTTTCACTCAAACTAGCTTCGAAGTATTAGCACACAACCCTGTGGTGCCCCCTGGTCCCTGGTCTAAGGTCACACAGGGTTCAGGAGTCCGCAGATGCCTCCCTGACTTCATTTCACTTTACAGCAAAATGGAGACAGTGAGTGATCCTAATGAAGCCGAGGCCCGGCCCAGGCCCGGACAGAGAGCTGCACAGCAGCTGGAAGTCTCTCTGTGGATGCATTTTAGCTCTCGACCTCCACCTAAACCCACCCCAGAGACAAGTGCCGGCACCACCCTGTTGACTGCTTCAAGAGGGAGGAGGAGAGGGGCTCATAGGAGCCCGGGAAGCGGCTCTATTTCTGGTGCTGTGATGTTGTGCCATGCAGGATCACATTCGAGTTCAACAGTTCACCTCTGCTACCATAGCTACTTACACTTGTTAATGTTTTCAGATGACACGAATGGACACAGATGGACACATATACACAAGTGCAGCCTGTGAGGAACACACGTTTGTCTTCGGCACAAATGTTTCCCCTGACAAGCAAAACTGAGGGCCACACACGCTGAGGGAGCCGCAGAGGGGAGGTCACATGTCCGCTTGATGAGATTTCATTGATATTAAAAGGCAATAGTAATCTCACCGCTTTTGTCAAATCAGCACAGTGGGCTGAGACGATGAGTGAGGCTGTAGGCAACTGGTGTTCAGTTCAGGGGGAATATAGCAAAGGGGGGACATTAAGGAGAAGGGTTCAGAGCTCAAAGAGTAAAGGAAAAAATGATATTGTTCAAAAAAAAGGTATTTGACATAGAAAACAAATCTAACTTTGAGCAAATAAAATATTTATTTTTTTAATTCTTGTGAAATGTGACAGAAAACTAATGAATAAATACCAACTTTGGTGTGCAGGTTCTCCCTGTATGAATTATTATTTAAATATTCTAAAATTTTAAGTGTGATACCAGACAAGTTAAAAAAGTTTTGCGGAAGCGCAGATTACATTTTTTTGGCCTTATCATTGTCTGTTCGCTTGCTCAAAAATATATTTTTTGTAATAATTCATGATTAGTAATGTTACAGTGTGATATTTAATTATATTTTAATTTTTTTTTGTTATACATTCTACTGCTAACCTATCGTATTTCTAAGAGTCTGTAAATCCAAGCTCATCGCTAAATATCCAATTCCAAAATAAAAAGGATGAGAGTTTAAATTTGAGGCTATGATTTCAGACAACAACACCTCATGTCCTGTTTTTATGAGCGCATACCACTGTAGTGATAACAAAGGATTAGAAAAGCGCTGAAGCTGTCATTGGTACATTTTTTTCGTGCGTAATCGCGCCTAGGTGGTCCATGTGGAGTAGAACGCCATTAGCGCTCCCTCCATCACCCTGGCTTACATTTACACCGAATATTTGATAACGCGTAGTAATGTGCCACGATTGTTCACTGTCAGTAGTTATTAGTTGTGGACACGCAGTGAAGTAGGCTGTGTTTTTTTCCTGGCTGTCTCATTGTCGCTGTCATAACAGTCATTATCGGAGTAGTTGTCATGTTTAGGCAGCACCTCTCAGCTAATTGATAAGACTGTTTATTCCCCTGCTTTCACACGTGCCGCAGCCCTTCCTATTAGACTTAGTCATCACCTGGGAGCACCGTTAGTTCGTACATGAAGGTAAAGACGCGTTTTGCCATGATTTGAAGCATATTGCTTTTCATGGAGGTTTTATTTTCGTCTTCATGCTCTTAATCACAGAAATGTAAAATGTGCACGAGTGTAAACGTAAACTGCCTTCTTTTAGTGACCTCCATCAAACGCAGAGGAGTAAAATCTAATATGAAACTCTGAAAAATACAAAGGGCCTTGTGTTTTCTTATACCTTCAATATTTGGCAGCCTTCTCTCCAGCCTGCTGCGCGCGTATACACGTTCGCGCACAAGATCCCCCTCGGCAACAGACTTCAAATCCTCCACAACCCACCCCACCCTCCCATATTTGTGTGTGTGTGTGTGTGTGTGTGTGTGTGTGTGTGTGTGTGTGTGTGTGTGTGCGTCCACGCGCGTGCGCGCGCCTTACGTGCTGACTTCTCTCTTGTTATCTGGCAGCAGAATAGTAATAAAACCGAGTGACTCCAACATGTCTGCTGGTGTGTCGCCTCCTACGTTGGGCTTTGCACGCAGCTCGCGGCACAAAAGAGACAGTTCATTATCATAATGTTGTCTTTTCGCACTAAAGGGGGAATGAATTCAGTGAAAAAAAAGATATTTAAAATCAGGGGATAATGAGGTTACATTTTTAAGGCAATAGGTTATACAGCCTATAGATTAACAAGCACTGTTATTTAACATTTTTTGGCCCTAAGGAAAAACACAGTTTCTCCCTTTGATGTTTTAAACATGAATAAAACCTATATAGGGAAAGTTTCCTAATAAACTATAAATCTGCTGATAGTTACATGGACAAAACTGAGTGGTTGTTTGGACCTAGACTTTGTAAAATCTAATGAAATCTCTGAAGGTTGTTAGGAGTTTTGTTGTTTAAATGAAACTCACCTTGAATCTAAACAAAAAGTCTCTGACTTAATTTAGCTTTATTTTTTTTTACAAGCTTCCTTACAGAATTTAGGCTCATAAAAGTTGAAACTGTGCGTACACTTACTAAATAGACTAGCTAAATTGTTTTATTCAAGTAAAACCTACCAAAACTATAATGTTTCCGCTTTTATTAAATCTGCGTAATGTTTTCTTCATTACAGAAGGAAAAATCTTAAGTTTGTCGATACTTTTTTTTTTATATAAAGGATCTAGACACACAATATGCAAGTAAGACCTTTATTCAAATTGACAAGAAGGCAACAATGGACTAATTACATAGAGATGAACATTGTCCTGGAAGCACCACAGTGCAGTCGTTCCGTTTCAAACAAAGAGGATCATAGTGGTTCTGCATATAAACACATATTTACAGCCTTCGGCGGTCTGTACAAATCTATATAAATATGACCTGAGTGTTTCTGACGCGCTCTTTCTGCGTGGTTTGAATGTAGCATGGATCAACTGCACAGTTTTGTCAATATTCGCTTTGTGGTTAGGCTACTTGTTTAAAAACAAAACTTTGCATATTCATTTACAAAGGGTTTTAAGGAAATACAACAGAAGCGATAAATAATTTAAAAACCACGCCAGATGTCCGTTAAATGTGCTGCCACAAGTGATCGGAAATCCCTTATGTGCTTTAAAACCCAGTTCTGAAACATTGTTGATCATCCAGAAAAACAGGCGCAATGTTTCACTTCAGGCCTGCTCCAGGTCCGCTTAACCTTCGCTCTGCAGAGTCTTTGTGAAGAGACCTCGTTTTCAAACTCGGAGGGGTTCTCAGCTCTGGGGTCAGTGTCAGTAAACAGCTCCTACACTCTGCTGCGGCACCGGGTGGTGCACGGTGCCCGGGTGCTGTAGATGTGATCCTTGCTGGTACCAGTGGTTGTTATAATCCTCCAGGTAAGGCGGCGACGAGCTGTGCGTCGGCTGTGGGACCTGAGGTCTGCTGATCGGGGTGTTTTGTGGGTTGCTGTTCTCCCACACGGCGGGGGAGGGAGGGGAGTTGCAGGCCATGGAGTCGCTTGCGTTGGGACTGTGCTCCAGGGGTACCTCGCCGTTTTTGTACAGCTTCTTGAACTTGGACCTCCGGTTCTGGAACCAGATTTTCACCTGGGAGGAAAAAGGTGTGAGCATTAAATGAAATGTAACCAGAAATTCAAAGGCAATGTTCTATATCAGCTGTGAGATGCACCTTTCCTCGTGAAAATACAATATTTAGCTTGAGAAAATTAATAATTTGTTTAAATGTGGGATGAATATTGTAAACCGAAACCGAGAGTCACTGAAATCCGGTTTGTATTGTGCGTAATTACGCAAGTCTGGATAATTAGGGAGTAAATTACTACTAATTACATTTGGGAGTAGAAACTGACTCACATGACTCTAAGAATATCGCTTTTAATTATTAAATAATGTGCTGGACCGGCTCGTGCTGCTCACCTGGGTCTGGGTGAGGCCGAGCTGCGCCGCCAGCTCTGCTCTCTCGGGCAGAGCGAGGTACTGCGCCTTCTGGAAGCGCCTCTGCAGAGCAGCGAGCTGATAGCTGGAGTAGATCGTCCTCGGCTTGCGGATCTTTTTCGGTTTTCCATTCACCATGCGAACTTCAGGCTCCGGCTCTTCTTTCACTATAAACCACAGAAAAATACATTTAGTCAAGTGAACATTTTAAGAGATCCCGAGAGGCTGAATCACGGAGCGTAAAGGAAATAAAATGACACAGTAAAACGACATTAATGTCTCAGTTTAAAAATACTTGGAGCTCACTGTCACGAATGTTATTTTATATTTATGTGGGAAAACTGCCTTTTTTTATTTTTATAAAAGGTGATTAATGTAAAGTACAGACACGAAACTCCAAAACTCAAATCATTTAAAATCAAATCAATTAAATGTGATTACTATTATTTTACTTTGTCAGTTCCAGAGTATCAGGCCAGAGGCAACGTGTTAAAACTGATGGAGCGAATATTATTAGTTTGAATTAAACCGTAGCTAAGTGTTTTATGGCCATCTGATAATCTCTGGCTCCTTCCCAGGAAGATTGTTACAGCATGACACGAACATCATATCAGTTACCAAGAAAATGTTGAAGGTGTTTATTAAACTAGAAAAAAAAAGGAACTGACGCCGATGTCTTTTACTTGCCTCTAAAGGTCAAAACTTACGGAGACTTGCAACGTGCACGATGCGTTTCATGCAACTTCAAACGGCGTGGCAGGGTAAATATTTGTTGTCTCCCTAATTTCTAACCCACATATTTACCTTCTGGAAATTAAACAACTAAGAAAGATTACTCCCTTAAAGGTTTGGTGACAGAAAAAAAAGATCTGATGTGCAGTTCTCACCGTGGCTCTGTTATGTGACTCTATGTTTTGTACTTTACGCACACATTACGCACACTTCATAAAAAAAACAAGTTCATATCATTGTGCATTATTTACCTGAGCTGGGAGGTGAGGCCTGCAGGTGATCTCTGTTGTAATGTCCGAACTGTCTGTAGCTGTTCGAGTACGGGTACTCAGATTTGGTGGCGTACGCTCCAGTGGCTCCCATTCCGTTCAGATTAAACTGGTGATGGTAAGAGTTCATGGGCTGTCCGTACGCCTGACTCTGATAATACTCGTGCTGCCCGTGAGCCGTCTGTCCGCTGTAGTAGCCCATGTCCGTCACCGAGGACTCGGGCAGAGTTGGAGAGTCCTTGGAGTTCGGGTGGCAACTCATAGATCCTGGTAGATCGGTCAGAATACAAGCAATCTTCTTTTCGTATGTCTGTCCGGCGCTCATGATGAAGCAGCCCTCCAGAGGAAAGAAATCCGCTGAGGGATTATTCAGTTTTTCTTTTGTGCGTTAAGCAAAAATCGCGCAAAAGAATTGGTATGCGCGCGCGTTTTTACGCACAGCGTTTGAGCTCCTGTAGTCCACTGACACTCTTTCGGCAGTAGAAACTTGGTTGTGGCATGGCTCAGCCCTTGTGACACAGAGTTATAGAGAGAATGGGCTGGATACTGCCCTCTCATTGGCTGCGCAGTTTCCCCCCTCTTTGCGCTCCAGGCGAAGCCGTGGTGAAACCCAGCCTTCAGCCAGGAGCGCCTATGCACGCATACCTCAGTAGCCTGACGTTTTTTCTTTTTCTTTTTTTGCTTCCCTTTAGATTTGCATTTACCTGTTCAGTGAAGATACCTGTCCACTTTATTTACCTGCTCACTGCATGTACCTGCTCTCTGAAGGACTCTCTGTCTGAGAACGCCAAAGAGCTCCAGTTTTCTGCGTCCTCTCCACTCTGGCACCAAGATGTTAAAGCACAATAGCAGCCCCGAGCTTAATCCTGCAGCCAGACCGTCCCCGGCCTTAATGCTTTTATGCAATGTTTTCTTAACAGTGCCTGGAGATCGCACTTTATTCAGGCCACTGAAAGGCCGCCAGTCGGACTCCCACTGTCTCCCCATTGTCATTCAAAGGTGTCGGCGGACAGTGAACTTAACGTGAAAGAGATAGAACAGATAGGTAAAGTACTCGTTCATCTGATGTCGCCTACGGGTGAAGTCCCTCACACTGACCATGTATGTGTGTGTGTGAGTGTGTGTGTTAATGCAAATTTCATCAACACTGAAGAGATGACTATACAGACCTGAACTCCACCACAGCTGGCAGCATAGAAACCATAACTGTCCAAAGTTTGATTTTAATTCATGTTCAGAAAAAATCAGCGGAAAAAAATGTAAAATGTTGCCTCTATTTAATTCAACTGTGAGATTTTTCTCTCTGTTCTTTTTTTTTCTGATGCTAATACGTTTCCAGATTATAACGTGGTGAACAGCGCCCCCTACCGTAAAAACACACTCAAAAGCGCTCTCTCTCCTCCTCTTAAGATAGATAAAAGCTGCTGAAACATCTAACACTGTACAAATTGTGTTTTTCCTGACCAGAAAGTGAATTTCTTCGCACCTGATAATTTCTCACCCATCAGGACCTGAAGCTTTTAAAAGATAACTCTTCTTTTGTTGCATCTATTGCCCTTACAGCCAATCATACCAGATAAAACACCGCCCTCTCTTGGCGTGACTGTGAAGTACAGGCATGAAGTTGTAATTAAAGGACAAGTTCACAATGAATTGAACAATTACACAAACTTTTAGATCTCTAACACAAACTACAGCAGCTACAAAAGGAGTCAGTTTAGTCAAGTTGAAGGTATTTCATATGAAGGAAGAAGAAACCTTCCACATTATGGAGTAATAAAGAAGTAGCCTACATCTGACTCATATTTTCAGAGAAACAACAGTGTCAGATTTTTCTGTAAATATGTTTTCACCCTCTGCAATGTAAACCAGAGTCCAAAACCACTGTATCTCAAACAGCAGTGAGCAGACATGTACCACTTTCATACTGTTGGTTTTCTGGATTATAGAGTTAATCCCTGACCTTTAGAGTCACATGACTCTAAACCAGAAATAATAAACTTCCCTCTTTGCCTGTTGGCCAGGAGGAGTCTTTTTTGACAGGGTGGCCAAACTTTGGCACTAACCTTTACAGGGGGTGGCATGTGTGTCTGTACACACATATTGGTTTGCCTTGGTGTGCCCGCTAACATCATTTTGTTGAGCTAAAACGTATGTTTACAAAAGATGTGATATGGCGTTCTTTACCAAAGTAACACAACAGAGTGCTAATATTGATTTATTTTCTTTTTTCTTTAAGGGCTGAATATGTTTCTTAAAATTTCTCAATTTTAACACCAACAAAATGAAATGTTCACTTTGAAAACAACACAAAAGTTGATGTTAAAGGTACATTCCTTCTTCTATTTCCCCTGAAATTAATATTTGTTTTTTCAAGAGCAATAACCAAACACCCCTTTGGTATAAATAATGTATACAGATACTAAAACAATGCATTAAAATGGAAATATTTGGGAATATTTTGCAGTCAGATTCTTGGTTAAAGTGCTCCCTTACTCACTGTTTCTGTGAAGCAATAGTGGCCTGTTAAGGACAGGAAGCTGCTGTGATGAATGATAAGTATAATCTCCCATTTTTTAAGGTTTTACCATCAACAAAATGATTTTGCATTCAGATAATTTTACATGTGAATGAGGACGGCAAAACTACTCACTCACCCACACAAAATAAAACATATATAGAGAGATTCAATCCTCATACTCGTGGTCTAGTTTCCTTGTTTGTCATCATAAGGCATAAGTATTGACAGTATTGACATTTATAAGAACAGAATAAACTCACTCTCATGATTTTTTAGTGTTAGAGCACAAAGCAAGTATTTAGGTATTTGTTTTGGCCAACAGGGGTGCCGAAATGATCCTAACTGAGAGTTCCTGTCAGCAGCTTCTAGGTTAAACACCGCTGTAATATCACAAAGTGCTCAGTAGGTGGTGCACACGTCATTATAATTGCTTGTGTTGGTGTTCAGTGGAAAAGGACTTCATCACTCACATAATAACTTGATGAAAATCTTTGATATTGATCAAAATAAGCTTTTAGTTTATTGTGGAGAGATTGTGTATGGTTCATATCTTATGTTTACATTCCTTAAGTACAAAAAAAAATGCACGAAGGCAACAACACATGGTGGGAAGAGCTTTTGTTTTTATAGACATTTTTATCTTTGTGTCTCCTGTCAGGATACTCTGTGGTAAAGCTGCGATAGACGCCGTCATCTTCAGACCGTCCTTATGTTTGTTCCACAAATGTCACCAGACTGTAAACAGTAAAGAGAGACTCATTGGTTGGAACCTATAAAGTCAAAGGCACAGTGGTTCACAGAGTTATGTGCTGTTGTTTCACCTTTAAAAGAGTGTGCAAATAGACATCAGTGTGAGGTCATTGTTTCTCTGTCATAGAAAATAGAATAATAATTTTTAGGTGTAGTTTTTTCTTCGCTCCAATGAACTCTGTAAATCACTGCTTTGACCCTCACAACACAGAAACATGAGCCAGCTTTTTGTACTGCTGTAGTGCAGTGTGTGTAAAAGTAGAGCAGCTGGCCTGGTTCCAGCACAGGACAAAAGCTCGGCCCTCGCACAGAGAAACCAGCAATTACTGCAGAACTACAATCTGCTCTGATCGCTCTCGAAAAAAAAAAGAAAAAGGAATCTGTCTTTTGTGCTAAACATTACGAGTAAAGCCATTTCCTCTCAGAGAAAGTAATTTACTTCCTATTTTCAACTTCTAAAATGTTTTGGAGAGTCATCAGTGTGATTACGGGAGCCCCTTTAGGCCAAAAAGAGCAAGACAGACATGACATATGAGGCAGAATCAGACCCAAATTACTCTTGTAATCTTTTCAAGATCTTGATAGAGAGACCAGATCAGTGATGTTTTTAAAAGTTGCTCTTCAAGTACAAAGATGTAGTTTTTTTCTTGGTATTTCTTTGCAGTTTCTCTCTGGTACTTCAGTTTGAAATGGAGTACAGATGGTATAAGTGGTGTAGCTCAGTGTTTGGTAATCCACACCTTCTTTCTGGCTCCACCTTTTTAGCCAAATATGGTCATTTCTGGCTCCAATAAACAATGCGGTGCCCAAATACAAAATACAAAACCTAAGGCTTCAAAATAGTGGCCAACAAACCAATCGGTTAAATTTTGGTGGCTACAGTCATCATCAAACAGTTTATAAGTCCCGCAACCTTTCGCCATAAGCCTTCTTGTAGAGCGTTGTATTGGCTCATTCATACTTTAACAAATCAAGGGAGTCCACGTTTTCACACAATATGCACAAAATCCAGTGAGCGCACACCCACTCTGCCAAAGATGTTTAGAGTCTGAGTCTGAGGGGGCAGTCAGCACACACACAAAAAAACCTTGCTTCCTACACCCACACAACCATCAATGCAATTTCATCTCCCTTTGAAAAGCTTCAAGGCAGCAGCGTGGACCTCCTCATGATAATGAAGCCACTGGCTTGTTTGTGCTGATCTGATTGAGCGGTTGGCCTCGATGGGAGAGTCAGGGCGCTCCCATGAGTGGGAGAGCTGGAAGTCTATTAGCTAGTAACGTTCTCGCGCGCTCTGCTTTCTTCTTCAGTCCTGATTAGAGATAAAAAGAGAAAATAGCATCGAGTCAAGGACTCTGAGCCATCTGTGTAATGTAGTTCTGAGTGTGCAGACAGAAAATCACCTGATGTTTTTAACCTCTCTTTCATGAGGAAACTCTTGTTAGTCTTTCTTCCAAATGTTTCCAGATATCTATTAAGTGCATGATCTGCAGAATGCATTATCCAAACTCAGGCTTAAAACGTGAAGCCATCAGAAAGCTGCCGTCATTTCCCCTGGAACTGGGTCCTACTTCTCTGTGCTTACATCCCCTCAAACTAAAAATACTTGACTTGATCTGGGAATTCTCTGAAACAAATGATCGTTCTAGGCTCCCACTGGTGTTGTATTTTGGCAAGGAAATATGGATTGGAGGCCTCGCTGTTCTCTCACCAGGAAGGCTCACTGTTCGAAGTTGATGTATGTGTGTGTGAGTGTGTTATTCACAAAAGGCCATCAGAGCAAAGAGCTCAGGTAAGGCCTGGCTAATGTGTTCCCAGCGGTGCACACAGCTGCCAAAAGAGTCAAAAAGCTAATGCGAGACACATGTGGCCAGATGCTAAAGGGCATGCCCTTTTTCCAAAACACACTCACATGCAGCAGACCAACACACAAAAACAAACACACACAGAGTCACATAAATATATCCAAAACACCTTCTGAAGCTAAAAGCTCCCCTGCAGGACAGCTTCCGCCCACATTGGCTCTCCTGTGAGCTGGAACACAGCAAGGGTCGCCGCTATCGGCCATCTGCTGCTCTTAATGGAGCACTAATGACACTTGTCCGTGTGTAGTCACGCTCAGCAGTTATCGCACTTCCTTTGCTTCTTCATTTGTGCAGTGTGGCATGTACAGTGGGGGGAATTTTGAAAGTTAATGTGGGTGTATGTAAAGGTTTTTTTCTTTTGCCAGCTTTTACATCTTGTCTGAGTGGAAGATGTGTAAGCTTTCTGCAATCCTACTATAGGCTATGGTTTTTCAACTTTTCACTAGTTTGATTGTGAATTCAGTTCTTATTAGAAAGAACTACTCTTACTCTGTAAGAAGTTACTTTTTTTATGATGTGGCATAAATCATAGAAAAGTGAGTTGGCCAGCTTAGAGGCATTTAGGGAAGTGTTAAAATCTGTTTGCTAAAAGTGACAGAGATACAGTTCAACCAGCAAAAAATAAGGTTGAAACAGGAGGCTTATAAAAAACCCAATGAGTTTCTTAGATAGTGCCTAAATTAAAAGATGAATGTTGGAAAGCCAAAAATAGCAATATAATAGTTTGCTAGCTAGCTGAATAAAGATCCTTTGAGGAGCCTTTCAGTTAGTGTAAATTTCAGCGCCCCCTATGGCCAAAGCACTATTTGCTTATCCAGTTCTCTACATGCTTAAACAGTGCCATCTGGCAGAATATCTCACCCTGCTGACTTTTGACAGTCAAATGTGTTATCTTTTGTGAATATTTAATGTGAAAAATGTAAAATCAGGCTTTTTCTCAAGCTGCTCGGTTGTCACCGACCCCCACATCAGTTCTAAGCATTAAAATTGTACTACAAAAATCATCAATCATATCAGTCATGGCCTTGTTTGCTTTTGTACATTTTAAAAGGCTTGAGTAGGAATTTCAGTCTATTTCATAGATGTCAAAAACTTCTCACAGGAGCTTCTGTGAGGATTCTTTGGCAAAGAAACAGCCTTGTTTACTTTTTACCGTTAGCGACATATTTCACAGCTTAAAGGAAGCGTGGTGATTTTCTGTGTGTCAGAAAATACCACTATAACACAAACACAACAAAATCAGTAACGTGGGGCCGCCAAATCTGACACAAAAAAGTTCTTCACTGGGGCTTTAATGAATAACAACTAAATATTTTTTCAAGGTTAGAGCAAGAAGGCATTACTTGCAAGAAGGCAAGTAACGATAATTGTTAATTAATGTTGAAATGCATTTAAGATATGAAGTCATAATATATTAGTTTATTATAGAGCACTCTGACTCATAGTTACAGAACAAGTTCTGAATAAGGTTCCTGTTATCAGACCTATGAGAACATACCTACCGAGTTTTCATCCTTTTGTCAATTCAGTGATGTAAACAAACAACAGGCTGGATGGAAACAAAAGGCCTCTGACCTGGATGCACTGCACTGTGCTAACTGAGCAGTCTGGTCCAACAAAGCTGTGGGCAGACACAGAGAGTTGGTGAGTGTCATTTTAACATACCACCAGTCTGTGTTGCAGCTCTTACATATACAACCTCAGATCACATTAGCTCTGTGACAGTAGGCTTCATGCTTCTGGAAGTGATAATCCAACTTGTGCAGTGCAGCCTATGGTTAACAATGACTGACTTCCAGCCAAGGCTCCTTTTTCCATTCTTCAGATAGATCTACAAAGAACAAGATATTTTTTGGTTGATTTCACCCTGCAGAATAGCATGTGTTCGTCTGTCTCAGAGACACAGGTTCACTGGTAACAATGAGTTGTATAACTCTACCCAGAAAAGAGGGTTCAGGTCTTAAGTTTGATGAAATAACAAACATCAGTGCCTACTCATACATGATTGGTCACTACTGTTCTGAGTACAGGTAAAAATTAAAAACAGAAAAATGATCACAGTAAAGTCCGGCTGCTTAAACACACATCCCTAATTTCATCTATTTCCCTGCTGGTCCTCTCCATCTTCACCCCCTCGCTGGCACTGACCCCAGCCTCTGCTCAGAGGCTTGCTGACAAGTGTCCCTGTCTTGGCAACCCCAGCCTCATTGAAAAGCATGCCACTATTCTCAGAATGCACTTTGCCAAGAGTGGATGAGTAAGAGCGGCTTGTGGAAACAGCTGTTCAGGGTGTGATCAAAAGAGGGAGGGAGACTTCTTTGATTAGTACCTTCTTTGTTCACGCTGCACTCAAACTTTCGTATTCACAGGGGGCCTCTCGGAGTGGGCCACAAGCCAAGAAAATACTCGAGGTTAGTATGGAAAGAGAGAATACTAGAGTCTTTATGAGATGCATCTGCCGCCGCCGCTGCTGCTACAGAATTCCCTCTTCATTTAACTTCATGTAGAAATATTTGAGTCTCCCATGAGCTAAGTTAGTCCCCACTATCCTCCTCTCCATCTTGACCTTTAACCCCTTTGTGGTGATCTCTTTCACTGCTTATCACCACAGAGTGAATACGTAGCCTTGGTTACAGCTACCCTCTCTGTGAGTCTGCCGGGCTGAGATGCCCTCTCCCAGGATTCAAGCAGGAAGCTCCACCCTGATCCTCGCATGTTTGTTTTGGCTCAGACTGAATATCACAGAGGACGAGATGAAACTGCTCCCTTCTATCTGCTCATTATCTCCACTGAATCTGCAGGCTAGATGACTCGACACAATCAAGATGCATTTCTAGCAAAGTTTGCCCCCCTTTTTGCCTAATGTGAAGTCTGAGGTAGTTAAGCGCCGTCAAAAAGGTCATAGAAGGTCAAAAACATGGGTTTACCACGATCTGGGGTATAACTTTACTTATTGTTTGAGTCTGATATTAAACAAGTGAGAATTTATAATAACTGAGTTTAAAATGAATTTCAAAGTTGAGTTTGAGAGACATCTTTAGTTTATAAACCTGTTTATTGCTAATAAGTAAAGTATTGCTACAGCATTAAGGGGCATGTGCAAAGGGGATTAAGCCCTTGCGTAGGTGTCTGCATTTTTGAAAGCCTGGAACAAATGTGCTCAAATGCCTTTAACTGTAAATCTAATGTAGGGAGGAAAATCACAGAAAAATCTTGTGCAAGACATCCACCTAGTCATTAGGTGGGCTTGTTAACACAGCGTACAGAGTTGTCATTTTTCTCTGCATGTCTGAGCACGGCAGATTGCGGGAGTTCCCATTCTGCTCCACTTTCCTCCTCAGCTTACACAGAAATCCAACATGGTCTCTCATCCTCACCTTGTATAAAAGGAATGCAGTCATACCCTGAAATCAGATGTGTCAGAGAGGGTCAGTCAGGTTGTAAACTCAGGCTGAAGTTAGATGCGTCTGTCTGCGTCAACTTTAATCTCTTAGATCGAGAGTAAGTTTCTACATAAACAATGGCCCAAGGACATGAATTCCCTTCCCCCTACCTCCTCTCCCTCGACTCCTGTACCGGTTCTAGAGCTGGATTTTGTGTCCTTGGGGAAGTGATGATGGCACATGATGACATGAGGACTCACCTGGAAAAAGGAGGAATATACACCAGTGGCTGCAAGAGAAGTTGAACTTTTGGGGGGACATCAACATTTGCATGTGATACGTGCAAAAGTTGTGGGATAGTTTTCCAGCACATTTACTGAAAAACTTAAAATGCGTTCTGTGATTGAATCGGCTGTTACAAAAGTTTGACAGGTGTTGAGACCATAGACTGTATATAGAATGGACGCCGTCTGCCTCCTCGCGGGGTGAAGTCACTCCGAGAACAGCACCCTCTGGTGACGGGCTGCAGTATAGGTCATAAATCCCACCTTTTTTCTGTGCATCTCTATTTTTAAAAGTTATTAGGGGGTTAAAGTTTTCTATGATTGACACTTCATACAGCCTATGGGTGTACAAAGATTGCGTAGCTCACTGGGGGGATACGCTGTTTGAGCCGAGCGTCTTCACAATGAGTCTCCCGCCAAATGTGTACAACGCTACTGTGCAATGTTGGTCTCAGAAAGTGGAGAAAAATTGTGGAAATACCGATAGCTTTTCAGCTTCAAATCCGTATACTGGCAGAAGGCAGAACCAAGTTGTCCATAGTCTATACAGTCTATGGTTGTGACTGACTGAAAGTTTTTAAATAAGCAACTAGAGTGCTTTCAACAGCAGGCTAAAAGTAGTTGCATCAGTAGTTAACATGTCTAAAGGGAAAAATAAGGAATTAGTGGGTTATTGAAAAACTGTTTTCAGTAATGAGGGAAGCAGTGGACGTTCACATAATGAGAGGCAAAGAGATTTTAGCAGTGTTGAATTATCCACCTGACATCACAGCTACCTTTGAGCCCTTTTCCATGGCGTCAGTGGCCATCTCAGGTGCTAAACTTGAAGATCCCTACCACCCACAGTGCTGAGGGCTGTAGTGTGCCTCCAGATGGGCCTCACAGTGTTTGCCTTAGTGCTGGGTCCCCGCTAGTGTCCCTGTTAATGAATGGACATTTAATGATCTGAGAGGGCCATTCAATTGAGTGGAAAATGTGAAGGTCTGTAGAGTACAGCTCCACTTGCCTTTGGAAACAAAGGGCTGGTCTGGGTATTCACGCACACACACTGGAGAGGGACGAAGTGGATTCACACACTGGCTTGAGAGGAGGCTGAACACACACATAGCAGACATGACAGAGGTAATTTTCACACGCTTTAGCACAAATCCCTTTCAGTGGGAGCTTATCTGTAGTGCTACACTGGGTCATGTGTAGTTTTTGCCTGAAATGAGGGGTGTTGTGCTTAACTTTTCAAGGACATATGTGAATTATTGAGGCCTACAGTTCCATAGTATACTACCAAATAGTGATGCACGATATGAAAAATTTCAACCGATACCGATAACCGATAATTTTCTTCTTCTCATGGCCGATACCGATACAGATAACCGATAAATTCATATTTTTACATTTATTATAATCTTCATATAATCTGCAGTTTGTGCAGGATGCAGCGATTGAAAACTGATGTTTTTGTTGCTCTGGCCTATCTAGAACAACAAACTAAAGTTTTTGGCTCTTCAAATGTGGTCATTTGCTATAAATAACAATAACAGAGCAAAAAGCAGAACTTCATTTGATCCCCTGAACTGTTCAACAGAACTGTAAACTGTAAAGGAGCTATTATGAGACGTTAGGATTAGCATGCTGACCGGACTAACATCTGACGTCCATATGTCTGTGGTAAAACTCACGTGTAGTCCGTTCTTGTCGATCAGGTTGTGACTGTATGTGGCGACAATATCATAGAGTGCAGGAAGAGACACATCCGAGAAGAAGCGGCGGCTTGGGAGAGTGTAACGTGGCTCCAAGTGTGCTATTAACTTGCGAAAACCCGGGTTCTCAACGACGGAAAAAGGCTGGTCGTCGACCGCTATGAACTCCATCACTTTGTCGTTAATGGCTTTAGCCTTTTCGCTGTCTCTTGAGAAGCTTTTGCAGTTTTTAAACGCCCGCTGAATGGGGACATCGATCCTCCGTAGTGTTGTTGTCTTAGCTTTAGTACCGCTAGCAGCTTCGGCGGCTGTCTCATATTCTTTTACTCCCGCTTCGCCGCGATGGCGACTTTTCAGATGAGCTATCAGATTCGCTGTGTTGATACTTGACGTCTTCTTTCCTCCTCTCGGAATCCTCGCTGAACAGGTTTTGCATATAGCAATGCTGTTGTCATCTTCTGCCACTGAGAGAAACGACCATGCTGGTGAAGACATTTTATTATCTGTCAGGTAGTGACGGGGTCAGGCTTGGGACCTGCGAGTAAGGCGCGATAGATGACGTAACCAGCGCGTCTCGGACGGGCGGCTACTCCGCCTGCAAACGTTACTCGTAATTTCATTAATATATCGGATCTTTCTATCGGAAAAATGCACCTATCGGACCGATAAAAAATGACGTAATTTCCCCCCAAATCGGCCGATATTTTATCGGTCTGATAAATATCGTGCATCCCTACTACCAAACATTTACAACCTTCTTCAAATACTAATCTGTCCATAGATGGAGCTTTACAACTCTATAACTGCATCAGTTGCTTAATGTTATGACTGTTTCACCACTAGTCAAATCTGAACCATCTGCTCATCTAAGTGCATTAACAACAAACAGAGAACAGAGGCGATGAGTTTAGGCTGCCGAAAAACCAACACACATGTGTTCAATAAAAATACATCCTTTTATGTTACAGCATTTATTTGCAGGTCATACAAGGGCAGCTGTAAACAAAGTGGCACCATGTGGTTGTAGAGGATCTATTGCAAACGGACGATCAAAAGGGAAGAGGAAAAGAAATCCTCAGTGTTTATATGTGGTCGAGTGGCTGACAGGTGAAGTTTGCAGGGGTCAGGCGACCAGACAGTCTATAGGCTGCACAGACAGGAAGGAGGCTTTATAAGGAGCGCTGTAAATCACTGCAACTCACTTTACCACTGGTGATGTGGGAGCAAGCTGGCATTGTGTTTGCTGCTCAGATTTATTGTAGTTTACCATCCATATTGTGTCATCATTCAATGGTCTGTCCACCAGATTGCATTAGGCCTGGTTGCAGCATCATGCATCAGATTTACTGCACAATATATTCACCTATAATCCAGGGTGAAGAATAGAGGGACTCTTTATAAGTGGGTTAAGCAAATGTAGATAGAAATATAATTATCCAGTTTGTCACTGAGTGTGACTTTAAGAGACAACTGTAAGACAATACTCCTGATAATCTCCTCATATTTCACCCCCAGAGAAAAAAAAATGTCACAGTCAAGTGTGGTTATGTGTGTCTTTTTCTCTGACGTGTATCTATAAAGTAGGAGAGGACTTTTAAGGTCATGCAGACATATAACTGCTCCTTTTGTAAACATGGCAGACAAGTGACGGTTCAGGCTTCACTCAGCTGTCAAGTATCAAGTTCTGAGTTAATGTGTCTTGACTAAGGTGAAATGCACTTCTGACCTCTCGGAAAAAAATGCAGCAGCCATTCCGAATGTCCAATAAGCAGCGTGGTCTGAGGAAAAAGCACAGTGAGGGTCCTGTTGTGATAGAGCTTTGGCTAAAGGTCAAGCTTGTGTTGCTCCCCAGAGAGAGAGAGAGAGAGAGAGAGAGAGAGAGAGAGAGAGATCTATTCACCAGCCGACTCCCCTCAGGAGCTGACATATACCTAAGCCTCACTCTATGAAAAATAAATGTATAATTTTGACTGAGAGCTCATGTCCAAGGTTATCAGCCTCCTGGGCACAAAGCCAGATCAAACCTAGCCTCCCCTCAAACATTTCTTTCTTTACCTGTGACTCCTCCATGGAGAATTGTCCGTGTCAAACAAAAGTGTCTCTACGGTTGGAGAAAGGAATGCTTCATGGAGTGACTCCTCTTTTTAATGATTAAACATCTTTCAGAGGGCACCATGGCACAGCAAGTGTTTCTGTTTAATTAATACTCTTAATAAATCATCACACATTCCTACCACAGTCAACACAATCTGTCTAAGAAGCAGCAGAAATGTTTTTTCCTCTTATTTGTGATTGTCCAGTTTGCCAATTATTTGTTTTATTGGTTTAGAGTCCTTGAAAAACTTTTAAAAGTGCTGTAGGAGGAATAAACAGCTCAACTCTAAGTGCATTTTTGGAGAGTTATAAACAGATAAACCCTAAATGTAATTTTCTTACACTTTGGTTTATTTTTGTACAAATCAAATAAGAGTGCAAAAAGATTTATAATTCTTTCTTGCAGGTGGATTTTATTATCACTGACACAGCAAAGCGAGCCATTTCCCTCCAACTTCCTGTCATGATTTATAAGACGGTTCATCTATAAAGGCCAGAAAGTTAAAACAACATTTTGTACCTGACAAGTTTTGGCTACTTTGCCTCTGAAACTTGTCCGGTAGAAAACATTTCTGAACCGTCTTATATATTTACCATCTTATAAATTTATCACTTCCAGTTAAGATGCGAAGCTAAGCTGCTGCTGGTTGTGTTGCTTCATATTCAACACACAGATAACAGTTAGCATAGTCCATCTCATCTTAGTGCAGAACTGTAAATCCATATCTCCTCCAGTTCTCTCCAGCCTTTATTCTCAGCAAACAATAAACACAAAAACTCATCTCATCTCTAAAAGTGTTAATCTACTCTCCAAATAAATGACTACAATATCCAGCTTTCTTAGCTATGCGGGGAGTGTTGTACTTATTACATGACTTCATGTAACAGCTGTTTTGTTTCCACAACACATTGACTACGACCCGCTGTCTCCCATCGCTCTATCTGTCTGCCTGAAAGCTAAGCTGAAAAACAGGTGCCACCGGACAGTGGGAGAGTGTTCAGGGCCACGCCTTCCTCCTCAGGCTATACATTCCTACACTTAGCTCAAGCTGGAGACCTGCACAACAGCGGGACTTTGTGTGGGTCCCAAACCCCTGCTGCATTTCCTTCCTGCCACACATTCACAAACGCACACACACCAATGCACGCATATGCTTAACAAACTCAAAGAACACGCACATGTGAATGATGACATACATCCCCCGCAGTCAGGGGAACAAATGTTCACACACGCAAACATACAAGGACATA